GGTAAAAAAAAAACGACAACTAAATGGGAGGTGAAAATTGGAAAATCCCCACCCTCTCAAAATTTTTTTCCAAGGTACCTACCTAGTTTAATGTTTATGGTATTCATGTTTAGCATGATTATTTAAAGTCTAATAAAATTAATAAAAAATAAATTTTGAATATTTATAATATTGAAAAATTCAAAATACGTATTTTATATGAATACGTCATACATATTATATATATAATATGCTGTATRTTGTTGTCTCTATAAATAGTAAGATAATGTATAATAAAGCATAATCGTAGTCGTCAATCGTCATCGACCATTTTGACCAAATAAATATTACTGTTTACTTTGCTAATTTGTTATAAATAAATGAAAATAAAATTATAATGGTATTCAGTAATCAGTATATTGAAAAAACTGTCAAAATTCAATAGCTCGATAGATCACAATTCACAATATGAAAAAATTCACAATATGAAAAAATATTACATTATAGTGCATACTACATAATGTAAGCAAAAACAAAAAATAAAGCTAATGGGGGGGGGATCTGACCCCCACGCCACCCTTGTCTACGCCACTGGTATTCGGACAAAATCCCGCAACCAAAATCCCGCCGGACAAAAAACCGCCACCAAAATCGCGTCTGGACAAAATCCCGCAAAAAAACGTATTGTACGTAAATTCATTATAACGTAATTCGTTAAACTGTTTCAAAAGTTGTCTACTGCTGGTCTGTATTGGTTATTATTGTTATTTATAAAAGTATATTATAATTTTATAATATATATGCGGAAGCGGAACTGGTAATGCGTTATCGCTTGAACGATAATTAGTAAATCCGTATTATACGGTATAGCATTCATAGGCGTGCGCAGACTTTATTCGCAGGAGATGCCAATATAATCCAAAATAACTCAATTTTTAACTTTCTTTAAAAAAAAAAAAACATAAATCAGATTTTTTTTCTAAAAAAATGTAATACATAACTACAAAACTCTGTTACGTTTGTGATAAAAATTATGATAATATTGATAGTTTTCACTATTAAAAGTAAAAACATAAAACAAGCTATCTGAGTAGACTGCAGGGGATGCCATGGCATACCCGGCATACCCCCTGTGCACGCCTATGATAGCCATATAGGTTAGAGATCGTTCACGCGCGTCAGTTAATTGCGTATATATATATGTCGCATCCATTTAGTGAAATCGCTCATTTCATGAAGTGGACATCCACTTCATGAAATGTATCCATTTAGTGATAATGACTATTTTTACAAGGTTGAGAGTTATGACAACGACTATTGAACAACATTTTACAATATTATACTATATTATGTTTGTATTATTATAATAAGGTATTTAAATTATGATTATTTTATATTATTACTTATTACAGCATGAAAAACTGTCATGAAAATGTGTACTACATAAAATGGCAACATTTCTACAGCTACACTTTTTTGTAGTACCTACACTTTGTTTTACAGTTACATCTTGTATATCCTTACCCACCAGCCACCAATTAATGAATTTGATGTAGAAGCTTCCCTTAATGAAATTTGTTGATCCCTTTGTACATCAGTAATTGATATTAAATTATTATAAAATAGTTTCCGCATGTTTTCTATTTAAAAAAAAATCACCTGAATTAAATGTTATTTAAAATAAAAATATATAACTAGTTACGTTGAATGACAATATCATACTAAATGGTAGCAAGACAGCATAGCATGGATGTTATCCAGATATAATAAGGTAGTTGGGTTAGGTAATAAAACATTTTATCAAAATTATCAACTTGTACAATACTTTATACTGCATAGGTAGGTACTAGATAGTATAAGATGCTGTTTTTTAATTGTGACCCTTCCGTTATTCCTAAATTAGATTAAATAATATCAACATTACTAATATTCAATAATATCGTTGTRTAAATGTCGACATTCACTAGTGAACGTTTACTAAAACATTAACCGGTGATTGTCAGCATTCACCAACTGCGGACATTCACAGTAACATTTTCATATAATAATAATAATGTAATATAACATAAGTGATTATTAATGCGTACATTAATACGTAATAAACTGCGCAGTGCGCATGAAATCGGAATATCGCCAAATCGGGGATTCAAAATTATTTAATTTATATGTTATGAGTATCGGGTGGTGCTGCTGAGTGCCTGCCCCTAAATGCTAAATTCTGTTATTTCATATTATATTAATTATCAAATTTGCCCATTGTACATTGTTGTATAGATTGTAAATTACTTAAATATGTATATAAAAAAAAAATGTTATGAGTTATTTAAATATCTTAGGTAATAATCTTAGAAATTTTAAGTCGATAATATACCTAACCTAATTTAGGAAGATAAAATAGTTTAAACATTAAAAAAAAAAAAATATATAATTAACTTAGTATAAATGCCTAAAAAAATAATTCATTGTATTTAGGTGAGTTAAAAACTATTAACATTATGTATAGGTACGTATACAAAATCAAATAACATCATTATTATAAAGATTTTAATAACTAACAATAATGGTACGAACAAACTATTTATATATTAGCGATATTTACACTTAGGTACATTATTGTTAATGACGTATTTTCGTTTATACGCAGTGTCTATCAGCGGGGTCGAGTATTATGAATCGTGAAGCAGAGAGTGGTGCTATGAGGCCTTTGGCTCGGGCGCTGACCAAGTCTCTAGAAAGAGTCCGGGGCCTCTTGAGGGACGCGAGCCTCTGCGGCGACCAAACTCCACCCTGCCTTCGCAACCTAATATCGTCGTTATGCACGTTCGATCATCTGTTTGCTGAGTTTGAGTTGCGTTACGTGTCCGCTATGGTACCTGTCAAGACCGCCCACGAATACGAACTCCAGCAGCTCGTGGTTGTCTTGTTCTCCGAGACCCTACAGAGGTAAGTGTATCCTAACCTAACCATTAACTGGAATAAAAATATTAATAAAGTATAAGGAAGAATTTTATTTTTCGTACATATTAAAATAAAATTTTATTTTATATTTATAACTATACTGTATATGAAAGCAATATTATGTTTAAATTTTTATTATAATATTGGTGTCTATTAGAGCGCTCGTCAAAGGTCTCCTGACACAAGAGATGGTTGACGACTATGATCCTGCCCTCATGTTCACCATTCCTCGTTTGGCCATCGTGTCCGGTCTATTATTTTACCCATACACGTCACCTCTGTCACTCGACCAAAACGCCTCGGACATGTCCGATATGTTCCGTCCATTTCGAGTAAGTGTTTAGTGTTGATACCGTATGTATATTGTGATATACTCGTGTATCATTAACGTTCGATAACATATGGCATATTATACCAACAAAATGCCAGTTCTTGCTGTTTGACATAATACTATAGCTTTATTATACATTTAATTGCACAAAACGTAGAGAAAGCGACTATCGCAGTCTTTTATAATAGAAAACGCCTACGATATACATGTACATCAAAAACAATACTTAATTGGGCTTATCGATTTATATAATATTTAAATTAATTCGTACACTTGTTTTGTAGTCGTTATTAATGAAAATCAGAGAACTCTTACTCACCCTATCCGATAAGGAGCTGTCAACACTGGAGAGGATGTTATGTTCGTCTGATGAGGTTAAGTTTGATGAGAATATATCGGTGAAAAACCAACAGTTGTCGTGAGTTTATAATTTATTACGACTGCTGTATAAAATATTGTTTACACAAAAAATGGTATTCAATAATATTATGAATGTATTGTTTTTTTTCAGGTGCCAGGATACCAGCGACGAGGACTCCGAGTGCCTTTCGTCTAGTACAGACAACAGCGTTACCACTACCACCGCTATTCCCGCAACGACCATTGAACACTGCGGTACGAAAGGATTTCCTCCGACACCACCATCATCGCCGCAAGATCTTATCAACAACAACAACAACAGCAACAATAACCAATGCAACCCATCGACTAAACGTGGATCATTCGGATCGACAATCATATCAACGAACAATGCCAGCGATCTACAGTCCAATAACGACTCAAAAAGTCCATCCGGAAACCGGCAACAACTACAACAATATGATTGCGGTGGTCTGGAATCATCATCAGGTTCAATGCCGGATGTAGATCTTACTGAGTCATTGGCCACAGCTACGGAAGCTCTAACAGAAATCCTGGTAAAGTCGGCGAATTTGGAACGTGAAATAAGTAGGAACAATGGCGGTGGCGCTGCTGTGGTTGTGGTGGTGGTTCAAGATGATAATGGAAACGAAAATGTGCGATCAAAGCAGCATCATCCTGCAAAACAGCACTATGTCTCTCCAAACGTGTCAACTAGTTCAACACAAACAGAATGTCTTCCATCAAGTTCTTATCAGGTGTGTTGTTGCAACAACTGGAATCGATGGAAGTCGACTACAGTAAACAATAAAAGAGACCGGTTGTCCTCCATTAGATGTCTGTCACCATCTAGTGGTGGAGATGGTAATGGTCGTCGTAGTTGTCATCATCATCATAGGAGGATAAAAACAAATGCCACAACCACTACTTCCAACCGGAGTGACAGTAATGATACCGGTAGCAACAGTAGCAGTTGTGGTGAGACAAAAGCCCGGGAAAAGGTCCCTGTTGTTACTGCAGTCTCGACTAAGTACTCAAAAAGCTGGCGGGAATTGCGCAAGACGACCAGCATTGACGGCCAACGATCAGCGGAAGTTGTGATTTGCCGCCTCCAAAACACAACCTGTTGCAATACTGCCAGATGTGATAGCGTTAAATCTACGTAAGTTTTCCGATTATGCTTTGTTTAACAAAAAAAATATCATGTGCAATTGACAAACTATGTTATATAGCTCTTATTCAATATCAATTAAAAAATAAAATTGAATTTATCTATTTTAAAAATACAAAATGTATTACAAAAAAAAATGTATTTAGCATTATAATATGGATTAGGACAAACATAATTACATAGTCAGYCAATTACATGTATCAACTATTTCTGTTACACTTTGTTTAGACTTTATGTGCTCAGGTCATGCAAAACGTTACTAAACGACTTATGGAGTGATTAATTTTACTGTATCACACCAATTATGTTTTTTAAATACTTGGATTGCTAATTGTTAATAATTATTTCCCTATGGTGATGCAAACTTTTGTTTTTCAAAATGTTAGCAATGATTTTTTAAACATTTGTATATTATGAAAATTAAATTATTCTGAATTTAAATTCAAACAATTGGTTCCTGTGTTATTAAATGTTATTATAGTCTGTTGAATATTTTAATTTAATGTAAATAAGTATAAGAATTTAAATAAAACAATATTTAACTTACACACACAACCTAAAATAATTAAACATTAAAAAGTACTGTTAGCATTTTATAGTTAGTTTATATTAAAATTGTCTAGGTAATAAGTACTTTACTAATTATTACTGATTAATATAATATATTTCATGTTTAATCATTAATATTTAATACTTATTTATAAATTCTGCTAATATTGAATAGATTATTCTTAGCTCTTAAGAAAATATATACCCGCATGTACTGCTTTGTTTTACTAACACATAATATAGCACATTTCTTGTTTAGTATAACTTATAATAAAAATAATAGTGCCAAATTACTTCTKCTATTGGGTTTTCATGTTATGCTTTAGGCATAGATAACACTTTCTAATACAGCATAATATTAACAATATTAATTTGACACTGCTTGTTTGAGTTTCAATTTTGATGTATCTAAATTATCGAAAATCATTTGAAATTTTAATAATAAATATACATAAATATTAATGAAACTCTCCCTACAGACATAGTTGTAATGATAATTGTGTTATTTAATTTTTCAGGATCAAAAAACATGATATGTGTTCAAGCAGTTCTAGTTGTATGACTTCATCGGCAGATGAGAGCGACGAGAGCGTGACTGACAGCACATCAGCAGACAGTTCCTGTAATTATTCGTTACGTCGACAAAAAGCTCGTGCTAAATTCAGGTGAGTAATAACTGTATATTTAATTATTGCTTATAATAATATTGTTATGGTTCTTATTTTTTAGATCTGATGAAGACTTATTACATCGTCTGTTTGTATGCATATCGGGAGTGGCCGATCAACTGCAGACAAATTTTGCTGGAGACTTACGTAATATCCTTAAATCAGTGTTTCTCATGTCTAATTCTAATTGTGGYAACGATAATCAACAGAATTTGGGTTTGTTGAAAAATGTGCTATTCAAATACCTGTAGTGATTTTGTTAATGCTTCAATTGATAATTTCAGAAGTAATTCCTGTGATAAACAATCCAGCTGCTATGATTGATATTGAAAATGGAGAAGAGGCTCTTGTTTGGAGAGGTGAAACCATGATTAATGATGTGTTATCCACATCAACAGAAACACCACCACCTTGGATACCTGATAATGAGGCTCCTGTATGCATGTCTTGCAAAGCTATGTTTACTGTGGTCCGAAGACGTCATCATTGTCGAAATTGTGGCAAAGTATTTACATTATTACTTCTGAATACCTACTTTAAAAACTTATTTTTTAAYCAATTTTTTTTTTTGCAGGTATTCTGTTCTCGGTGCAGTTCAAACTCTGTTCCTTTGCCTAGATTTGGGCATTTGAAGCCTGTGCGTGTATGTAATCGTTGTTTTATCTACCAGGTTACACCGTTCACATTGGAACATTCAATTGGACCCGTTCCGATTGTCTTGCAGTCTTAATTAATTATAGTTCATCAAATGTGTGTGGTTCTGCTTTACCCTCGCCCAAAATCTTCTTCACCCAAACATTCCAAAGAAATAAAGAACATCTTTATTTTTTGTGTTACCATTTTATCCTAAGTGACTGTTTGTTTCTTCCCTTTTAATCTTTTGCTTTATATACTTTTTAGTTTTTTCCTCTCGATAAATATTCTGTTCCTAACAGTAATAATATTAATTAGTTATATGCAAATAAATCGATGTCTTGAACAACATTTTGTTATCGATTCTACAATTTAACACTAATAAATGCATTTGTTATTGTATTTTATTTTATAAAAATAATTTGATAATAATAATATTACATTTAAGAATCATAACATTGATACTGATTACAGTTATTAGTGTATTGTCAGTCAAAACAATTGTATTATAAATATATATAAATATATATAATTATTTTTTTTGATACTAAAACATCTGCTCTGCTCAATAATGTTTTTAACTGACATTTAGTCCTGCTGTCTTAAACTCTATCATCTTAAAATTCTGAAAATCACAAAGTTAACAAAATCTAATTAGTAATTATTATTACAAAGATCATATTAATTGATAGAAGTGCAGTTTTTATTATTATTTTTTTTGTAAATTTATATTATAGAATCTAAACTAAAATTTCCTTTATCAATCATTATTTTAATTTTACGTTATAATCATACAAATATATTTTTTTCACTCGATTTATCAATATTGGATTAATGATCAAAAATGGCTGTGGATTTTATTCTTAATGATCATTGTTCTATATTATCAATACACTATTGTAAGTTGTCATATGTATTAAGCATTTTTTAKTTTTATTTTTTTTTTATGATTATTAAATATCAGTGCGATAGTAAAAATAAAGACCCTCATTGAGAATATTAAGAATGAATAAATTTAATTATGCATTTTTCAAGATTCAGTACAAAAGTCTCTGTTGAAATATATAACATCTATTGTGCATCCATGATGTATGTCATCTTGTATATTTAAAAAAAAAAACTATCACAAATCATGGTTCATTAAAAAAAATATTTTATTGCTAAACTAAATGTCTGTGATAGTTTTTACCTAAAAATATGATTTATTTATTAATTAAAAGATTTAATTTTACAATTACAAATTATTATATCATACAACTGTAGTGTTTTGCGATTGTTGTATTGCTAAAATATATTCGAAATAATTATGTCAACAAAGTTATATAATTCGTCAATGAACGTTGCTACCGATTTATGTATAATAATGATCTGCTTACAATTATATTTAAAACAAATATTTAATCATAGGTATTATTCTAATTAGAAACTTTGTTGTAGACAAATTTTAACAAAAAGTTGTCGAATGTTGAGTTCTAAATTCTAATATTTATTTTAATGATAAATTGTTAATAATATAGATATTGGTTTTTCAGATGGTTAAAAAGTAGTAGTAACGTTTGAGTTTGTATGGCACTGTGCATTTAAGTTATTATGTTAAGCACAATTTATCTAAATATTTTGTACGTGCAATACATTTTTATTTCTTTATTTTTAAGATAAGTGTTTGAAATATGCGTTTACTGTTTAGTATTATATTACCTAATTGTTTTGGTTGAAATCACTGTTCTTGTATAGTTTTTTTGCAAATATGTTATAAAAGTTGTGTATTGTAAATCAATTAAAACAAGTTATTGTATTTTTTTAAAATTAAATGTCAGTAATTTTTTAATTTATCATACTGTTTGATAATATCTTATCTTTGAATTCCATATTACTATTTTAGATTCTTAACATAATAGTGTTTTCCATCACTGCACCATCATACTTAAACAGTTCACTGATAGCTCACTAATGTAATTCCAGTTTGAGTAAATATGTAGATAATATTTAAATATTTATTTATTAATTAAATTTGTGACGAAACATAACCTCGTTATAATTTCAGGAAAATTATAAAGCCGTCTGTCGACTAAATCTCGTACAACTATCAATTCACTCGTTGCAAAAAAAAAGTGGCTGATTGTACTGAGGTGAAACATAAAACATTTAATCCAGGGCGCACCATTATTTCATGTATATGTGCATTAGTGCAATCGGTGCAATGTGATAGGAAATAATAAGATTAACCTAACTAGATAATATATTTTGTCCAATTATACTTGAGGAATCAACTAATTAATTTTATTTTACTTAACATTTAAAAAAAGGTTTTATTCGATATGAAATTTCAACACATAATTTTATCAAATTCAACACATCCATTACAGTGACCTATACTCAATAAGTAGTCAATGACGAGTGTGGGTTCCTCTATACTATAGAGTCTATATTATGATTCTATTATACCTACTATATCACAGCAGATGCTTTCACCAGTTTCGATTTTTGAATTAATTTTAAAAATACCTTAAGAAATGCATTTAAAATGTCTAAAAATGCACTTAAAATGACAAATAAATGTAGTATAAAATGCACTCAAGTGATCTCGCTACTGCCGTCAATTTTAACTCAAAAGACTTAGTTTTGACAAATTTAAGGCAGTTTACGTAGTCTGATTTTTATTCTGAAAAATTGATTCCTGAGTTTGATTTAACACGCAAACCATCATATATTGTTTTAAAATACGTCAAGTGGTACTTAACCTAGCAGCTGGTAATTAACGTATAATTCATTTTCATTATTTTCAATGCCCTAAGCCCTTACTGATAATTAACTTTTCTCCTAATATTCTAAATGAGTATTTATCAACTACCTACAACCATCAACCAGTAAACTTCTCATTTATACATTTTACCTATCCGGGAACAACTATAAAAATGAATTGTCAAATGGTTTATATATTATTAATATTTCATGTTAATCATTCAGGTTTTATGTAAACTGTRTAGATTTATAAAATTACGTGTTTTATTAAAATTACCTCAAAATKAATAATTAGATGTTACGAAAATTGCATGTAGTTTTTTTTAAAGTTTTAGTGCAGATCAGAGGCATTCTCAAGGGGGAGTCATGGGGTTCGACCCCTTTATAATATAATGACGTATAATGTTGTATAATAGTATAATACTATAATCATTGGTCCGAGAAATTGGTTATTTCACAAAAATAGGAATTCAATCCCCCCCCCTACCATAGAAAAATCATGAGCACAGCGTTTTTACAGACAACACGCATCATGTAACTGAAAATATACCAATATTGGTAAGCGATGGCGGCTATCTTTAGAAACTGCCTCACATATAATCCTTAAAATATTTCCACCCTTCCGATCCCAAACCGCAATGGTCAAGGGCCATCCCTATTGAGCCCTCTCCTTAATTGCCTAGTCACACCGCTGTTTAAAACGTATCTACTACCGTACTGGTTTATGTGCCGACAAGAGAGGGTACTTTAAAGTGGTGCAAATTAAAAGTTTTGTAGCGACAAGATGGAATAGATTTAATTTGTTTTTGTTTTATTTAGTTTTTATGAGACACGAACTACCTATACAAACTTAAAAGTGGCGCAAACTACCAATATTAATGTTTAAATGTAGTGCAAATTACATAGGTATTTTTATTTAATTTGAGAGGAGAGAGGTAGATTTTTTATGTAAATTACATACGCTCGTATCTTCATACTATGGATGGTACGAGTTTTAAATGGTTTTTAGTTTTCGCATTTTATAATGCGATCGTTTGCTACCATAAAAATTTCGGTGGAAAAAAGTAGTGACGAACAATTGATTATGGTTGACTATTACATTTAAAGGAGCTAAYAAATATTTGATGTTTGCAAAATTAATATGRCGGCAATATTTCAATTAACATTTAACAGCATACCTAATGCCATCTCCTAATTTATAACTTTGTTATTGTACTAAAACTTAAACTGCTGATCAATTATTATAATGTGCATTGTGTACAATTGTATTTAAATGTGGTACTTGTCGTGCAATCGTAGTCGTAAATATTATACCAAAACCCACAACGAATAACGATTACATAAATCAGGCACGCAGATTTATTATTAAATTAAATATTTGATTATACCCAACTATTATTGGAGTTTTTTGAAATTTATTTTGTTTAACTGTTGTCATATTAGTTCACTCTTACCATATGTTGTATAATTTGTACCATTTAACATATATTGTTTTGTTTACATTTTCCATATTATTAATGGTAATTAATTATTAAATTAAATGTTTGTTTTGGTACCTATTGCTACCTACATGCAATAACCTAATAAATAAAATTATACATCACAAAATTTTATCATACATTTTTTTGTGGGTTGGCTAAGAACGATAATTAGATCATAGGTTATGTAAAATATGTACTTATATAATGGATAATGAATAAAAAAAAAAAGAGGGTAAGTAGTGGATGTCGCTCTGCTGTACAGTAGGTTACTGTATGGATGGGATTAAATTTGAATGCAATGATAAGTATCATTGTATACGAAAAACTATTCTGAACGGAGATGATTTGTCAGTCTAGGATATATTATATTTAAATATTGTCATATACTCATATATTCTATTTTAAAACAAATAAATTATTTTTCAATTAGAACGCATTTTGAATGAGGCATGGTTAATCAATTTTTCCAAAAACATTGCATGTAGTTATCATAACTCATAATACCWTATATTATCATAGATGTACATATACCGGATTTGAGGATAAATCGTTATCATTACGCGATTTCATAAAAATTTAAAACTCAAACACTCAAAACATTTTTCCTATAATGACGCTTCAAATTTCCTCTATA